GAACCGCATGCGAGAACAGCCACTGGGGCCTTCGGTGGAGCTCCCTATGGGGCCACGAGAGGCTGCCCTGGGTGGGGGAACCACATGCGAGAGCAGCCACTGGGGCCTTCGGTGGAGGCCCCTATGGGGCCACGAAGCCTGGGGGAACCGCATGCGAGAGCAGCCACTGGGGCCTTCGGTGGAACTCCCTATGGGGCCACGAAGCGATGCCCTGGGGAGCTGCCCTGGGTGGGGGAACCGCATGCGGGCTGTGCCACTGGGGCCTTCGGTGGAGCTCCCTATGGGGCCACGAAACGCTGCCCTGGGTGGGGGAACCGCATGCGAGAGCAGCCATTGGGGCCTTCGGTGGATCTCCCTATGGGGCCACGAAGCGCTGTCCTGGGCGGGGGAACCGCATGCGAGAGCAGCCACTGGGGCCTTCGGTGGATCTCCCTATGGGGCCACGAAACGCTGCCCTGGGACGCTGCCCTGGGTGAGGGAACCGCATGCGGGCTGTGCCACTGGGGCCTTCGGTGGAGCTCCCTATGGGGCCACGAAACGCTGCCCTGGGTGGGGGAACCGCATGCGAGAGCAGCCATTGGGGCCTTCGGTGGATCTCCCTATGGGGCCACGAAACGCTGTCCTGGGTGGGGGAACCGCATGCGAGAGCAGCCACTGGGGCCTTCGGTGGATCTCCCTATGGGGCCACGAAGCGCTGCCCTGGGACGCTGCCCTGGGTGAGGGAACCGCATGCGGGCTGTGCCACTGGGACCTTCGGTGGAGCTCCCTATGGGGCTACGAAACGTGTGAGAGGTGTGCCGAGAGCAAAGGCAAGGAGGGGGAGGGGGAGAAGGGAGGAGGGAGGACGGAGAAGGGAGGAGGGGGAGGAGGAAGGAATGAAGGAGGAGACGCGGGGCGCTGTCTATTCAAAACGAGGACCCAACACCACAGGATGGTTGGGAAATATGGGAAGTGGGGGGGAAGACAGAAACCCTGAAAATATATGAAAATATGGGGAATCATTGTATTTGTGTACATTTATTTCTCTGTCCCAGGGCCCCTTCATCCATGCTGAGCGCGGAGAAAGCCAGAGTGCACAGATTCGCCCCTTCGATCACGACCCGCTCCCTGGGGCCAGCCTCTCGATCCCGATCCGCTCCGAGCGGTCCCAGATCCCGGCGAGGGCCCCCCAGATGCCGAAGCTTGCGAAGTACCCTCGGCCTCGATGTTTTTGCTCCGTTGGTCGGAGAGGCGGGTCTACTTCCTGCTTACGCCCCCCAGATGCCGAAGCTTGCGAAGTACCCTCGGCCTCGAGGTTTTGCTCCGTTGGTCGGAGAGGCGGGTCTCCTTCCTGCTTACAGTCGGGGCCCTGAAGAAGGAACCCTTTTCGCTGGGGAGGGGCTCGGTGTTCCTTGCATGTTTCAAAGTTTGCCTCGGGCTTTCCTCAAGCTCGGGAGACCAAGCCGCACGCGCTCGCCCCCCCTTGAACGAAGGATTGCAAAAAAACCCAGGGTTTTTTTGCAATCCAGGGTTTTTTTGCAATCCTTCGTTTTTTTGCAATCCTTCGTTTTTTTGCAATCCTTTTTTTGCAATCCTTCGTTTTTTTGCAATCCCTCGCGAGGGCCAGCTCCCCACGCCGGAGATGCTGGCGGCCCTGCTGCGGGCGGAGCAGGCGAGGGACGTCGACGTCGTGGACCTGCACGCGTGCGGCCGGCCCGACGTGGGGACCCACGCCATCTCCCGGAAGCGGGCCACCGGCACGGCATCGGGAGCCTTGAGACGGGGGTCAATGCAAACCCAGACCCCCTCGAGTCATGAAAAAATCACGACGGGAGGTTTTTCCTGATTTTCGGCCTCCTGGGGCCCTCACCGGGCCTCGGGAGCGTCAAAAAACGACTCAGGATGCAAAGCCGGTCATGGGGAAAGGGTCGGGACCTCTGGGGGTCGACGTAATGAAAAAATCATTACGTCGGGGGTCTGGGAACGGGGGTCAGCCAGAGCGCCGGATCTTGCAGGATCCTGCAGGGCCAGGGTCGCATTGACCCGGGTTTGGGTGCAGGATCCTGCAGGATCCTTCCCATGGACCCGGGTTTGGGTGCAGGATCTTGCAGGAACTTGCAGGACTCTGCAAGACTTGACTGACCCGGGTCTGGATGGACCCGGGTCAGAAGATCCCCGACGGCAGACTCGCGCCTGCGTGGGCCCGCCACGAACCCCGCGATGTGTGCCTCCACCGAGGGAAGAAGATCCCGACTTCGGTGATGGTGGTAATATTCTGGCTTCCAAGGCGACGAAAATATTGCCACCAACACCGAAATCCAGGATCATCTTCCCCTTGTGGAGGCAACCCCCCTGTGTTGGTGTTGGTGCCAATTTCTAGGCCTCCAAGCGATGCCCGCGTCTCGATCGTTTCGCACCGAGCGTGTTCGCATCGGGTGCAGTCGGCCTCCCGGGAGCAGGCCCGGGAGGGTCTTTGCCCACCGGCCCGGCACCCAGACCTCCTCGCGTCGCTCGGCCGCGAAGTCCGAACCCTTCCCTCGCCGATCACCAGAGCCCCGAATCATCAGGGGTAACTCGGGTCAGGGCTAACTCGGGTTCCTTTTTCGGGAATCCGAACCCGAGTTACCCCGGACCCGAGTTACCCCGGATAACTCGGGCGCCCAGAGCCCCCGAATCATCAGGGGTAAACTCGGGTCAGGGCTAACTCGGGCTCCTTTTTCGGGAATCCGAACCCGAGTTACCCCGGGCCCGAGTTACCCCGGATAACTCGGGCGCCCAGAGCCCCGAATCATCAGGGGTAACTCGGGTCAGGGCTAACTCGGGTTCCTTTTTCGGGAATCCGAACCCGAGTTACCCCGGACCCGAGTTACCCCGGATAACTCGGGCGCCCAGAGCCCCGAATCATCCGGGGTACCTTGGGTCAGGGCTGACTCGGGTTACTTTTTCGGGCATCCGAACCCGAGTTACCCCGGACCCGAGTTGCCCCGGACAACTCGGGCGCCCAAGATCAGCGGTTCGGGCAGCTCGAGGGGTGGCGGGGGTCGGGGTCGGAATTCGTCGAGCACGTGGCGAAGCCCGACCCCATGCGCAGTACTTTTTCTCGTGTGTTGTAGGAGCAGGTATTCGGCTCCGTGCTCAGCCAGGCTGAGCTCCTCGTTGAGCGCTGTATACGGCAGCCACAGCTGACAGTGTTCTGCTGAATTGAATGGCGCGCTGGCCCCTTCAATTTAGCTCGTCCGCAATCATGGCAGCCCCCTCTGCCTCTTGGAGAAGTGCCCAACGGCCGAAAAAAAAACGTGGCGAAGCCCGAACCCTGCCCTCGCCTCCCATCGACTCAGGAGAGTCCATGGTTGATGGGGGTAGGGGGTAGGGTTTGGATGTCGCGACCTGCCAGGGCCCAGACCTCCTCGCGTCGTCGAGAGAGCACGGCAGAAGGTGTTGCGCCGTGGTCGGCCTCCTCGGGTGCGTCAACTGGCGACTCGGGGTGAAACGGCGGCCCCGGGGAGGGGGTCCAGACCCCTCCAGCAGGGCCCACACTGCGAAACACAATGCGACGTTGGAGGTCCAGGCAAGGCCCAGCATGGAGGCCAGGGCTGATGGTGGTGCACGGTTGCCAGCTTCCAGCCATCGTGGCGACTGGCGTCACCACCCACCAGATCCGCCGCCTGGGCGACATCGGGGAGCAAGAAGAAGGTACACCTCCCCCACCACTGTGAAATGAGGGGTGGACCTCCTGAGCCGTAAGTAGCGCGTGGTGCTTCTCTCGAAGTGCCGCGCGCGGTTTTCCAGACATCAGCGATCGCCTTCGACGAGGCATTTGCAGAGGTAGCAGCTACTCTGACAATGTAGTCAAAGTAAGCGTTTTCCTTCTGCGGAAGCTGATGGCGTTCCTTCCATGCTTGCTGGACAGAACAGAATGTAGATACCTATTATATCTTAGGTGGATGTTGCTTATTTGTTGCTTAAATAGATATGCATACATCTATAACCGGCACGTTGGGACCAGGAGCATCTCTAGGTCGGACATCGGCTCTGTGCTCCTTAGGCTCTCCCTCACGACTACCAGAAGCGAAGTCGAGTATCTTCCAGCTTCGCTCGACTGTACCTCCTGTGGCCCAGGGCCCACAGGAGCACCGGGCCCCTTCCGGCTTGAAGGCGGCCCTGATCCCAACGCCTTGACAGCAGCCCTTCCCTGGGCACCCCTGCCCGCCCCCACTTGGGGCGCGAGCGGCAGGTGTACCTCTGTTGCTCCCCAGACATTGTCTCCAGGGCGACCCTGGCCTGCGAGGCGCCACATGTCGACGCCTTCTGCTACGGCACCCGCAACGACGAGTGGGTCGTCGCACACTGTGGTCCGATCAAGGTCCACCTGTTCACGAGGGAGAGCCGGGAGCAGTACAGGCCGCGAGATGTTGGGATGGCAAGGGGGTCTCTGCCCTCGCTTGCATTATTTTCCCTTTTTCCTCCGTGTCGTTCTCCCTCGTCCTCCCTCCTCTTCCCTCTCCTCCTGCTCGCTCCCCCTTACTCCTCACTTCCGAGGCGGGAGGGGTGGAAGTGGGGCGAGTGGTGGGGTGGGGGTGGGGTGAGCTGTCAAGTTAGCCAGCTCGAACGAGCCAGAGGGCTCCGTCCACTCCCACCCGCCCTCCCATAACATAAGAAGCAAGTGAGTCGCGTCCGACGCCTGTCGCTCATCTTATATCGTGGGCGGGTAGACGTTCAGCGCGCGACATGAGCTGCGTCCTATTCCTGCCGCGTATTGACCATCGTCGACGAGAGACAAGACCGCGCGCGATGTACGCCGCGCCCCGCTCCGGCCTCTCATGTTGCATCGTCGGCGACAACATGTCCAGCGCGCGAAGTGCGCCGCGTCTCATTCCAGCCACGCGTGTTGCACCGCCAATCGTTTCGCTCGTGCCGCGCACTGGGGAGGAGGAGGGAGAGGAGGAGGAGGAGGAAGAGGAGGAAGAGGAGGAGGAGGAAGAGGAGGAGGACGAGGAGGAGGAGGAGGAGGAGGAGGACGAGGAGGAGGAGGGGAGGGAGAGAGGAAGGGAGGGAGGAACTGAGGAGGAAGAGGAGAATGCCTCCTGGGACTTCGCGGGGCGTCTTGGGAGCTTTCTGGTATACGCCTGAGGGCCTCTTGGGTGTATCTTCCGGGTTGGAACATTGTCAACACAATCAGGTGCTAACCTCACAATCCTGCAAACACCAAATGAAAATCAATATTTGTGTTGCCCCCCAGGACCTCCTGGACGCCTTTTTCGACCTGTTGGGGGTCTCCTGAGGCACCTGCTTGAACCGCATGTGCTTGAGGCATTATGACTTGCCGCCCGCCCAGCTCCTCAACCCGACGGGCCGCAGCGTCGACGACAAGAAAATCCATGTTGACGAGCAGGCGTCCCCGCGCGATGTGCGCCGCGTCCCATTTCCGCTGCGCGATTCGCAGCGCCGACGAGGATAAATTATGCGTCGGCAGAAAAACGTAAACGTTGCTGTGTTTTTTGGCAGGTAGGACGGGGGGTCCTGCGTAGGGTTGGCCAAGCGTCCGCGCGCGATGCGCGCCGCGTCCAATTCCTGCTACACTTATCGCAGCGTCGACGACACGACAGTCCATGTTGACGAGGAAACATAGTGATTTTGCATTGTTTTTTGATGGGTAGGACGCGACCACCCGCTTAGGGCCTCCCAGGCGATGTTCATCCCGTTTCACTCCTGCTGCACTTGTCGCAATTCGACGACATGCTGGCGAGAAGCAAGCTGATTTGCAGTTGTGCTTCAAGAGTTAGGACTGCGAGGCTGCCATCGGCCAGCTAGGTGGGGATGCGGGGGCGCTTAGTCGTAAGAAGTAAGGATGTGGGGGTGTGGGAGGGGGGGAGCGAATGGGGGGGTGAGGAGAGAGGTAGAAGGAGGGGGCGGGGGGGGGTGATAATGACATGGACACGAGGGGGAAAAGAGAGAGGAGGGTGGAAGGAGGGCCTCCCCTCCACATCCTCCTCCCCCTCCCCGTCCCCCTCCCCCTCCCCCTCTTCTTCCTCCTCTTCCTCCTCCTCCTCCTCCTCCTCCTCCTCTTCATCCTCCTCTTTCTCCTCCTCCTCTTCTCCTCCTCCTCCTCCTCTTCCTCCTCCTCCTCCTCCTCCTCCTCCTCGTCCTCCTCCTCCTCCTCCTCCTCCTCCTCCTCCTCCTCCTCCTCCTCCTCCTTTCCCTCACGCCATCTTCCCTCCTGTCTCATGCATCCCTGGAGGAGAGGTAAGATGGAAGCGGGCGGCAGGCCAGCGAGGGACTCCCGCGGGACACGCAGAAAGCGGGCATGGGAAACAGGGGGGGGAGGAAACTTAGCCTGACGAAGGGGCACAACCATGTGCAGGTGTGAGTACAGTACAGCAATTGTGATTCCCACTTTCGGTTGTGATCCCTATGAGGCAACGAACCGTGCTAGGGTGTGCCGAAATGAGTGGCGTGATACACGACGCGAACGAAAACGATTGATCTGAGTACGTAGGGAGACTGGGCGCGGGTGAATCTGAGTGCGAGTGCGTCTGACTGTGAATGAATCTGCGTGCGAGCGATCCAACGTGCATGAATGCGAGTATGACAAGCATGGTGTGCTTGTATATGAATGTCAATAGTTTGAGAATGACTGCCTCTGAGTACTGGTGACGCTGGGCGTGGCCGCCGCAAGGAGCTTCCCCGGCACTCCCCGACGGCATCGCCCGCGCGCCGCGACGCCAGTGTCGGCGCGCCCCCCCGCGAGAATCGCGCCCGCTTCCTCCCCTTCTTTTACTCCCTCTTTGCCCGCGCGCTCAAAAGTCCAAGGCTGCGGGCGCAGCGCAGCGCGGAGTCCCCGCGACGCGCGCAGGTCGCCCTGGAGAGGTCCCAGCGGCGCGCGCGGGTCGTCTGCTGCGCGGAGCAAAGAGAGCGCCGGTTGGCTGATAGCGGGCAAGGCTCTTGCCGGTGGGCAGAGCGACGACGGGCGAGCGAGGCGCGGAATTCCGACGGCCTCCGACGGAGGTGCACTGAGTGGGGGAGACGCATGCGGATTGCGCCACGGGGACCTTCGGTGGAGCTCCCTATGGGGCCACGAAACGCTGTGGTTGGTGGGGGAGACGCATGCGGACTGCGCCACGGGGACTTTCGGTGGAGCTCCCTATGGGGCCACAAAAAGCTGTACTGGGTGAGGGAGACGCACGCGGACTGCGCCGCGGGGGCCTTCAGTGGCGCTCCATAGGGGCCCACGAAACGTTGTACTAGGCGAGGGGGACGCCTGCAAACTGCGCCACGGGGACCTTCGGTGGAGCTTTCTATGGGACCACGAAGCGCTGTATTGGGTGAGGGGGGCGCATGCGGACTGCGCCACGGAGGCCTTCGCTGGAGCCCCTATGGGGCCACGAAGCGCTGTACTGGGTGGGGGAGACGCCTGCGGACTGCGCCACGGGGACCTTCGGTGGAGCTCCCTATGGGGCCACGAAGCGCTGTACTGGGCGAGGGAAGCGCATGCGGACTGCGCCACGGGGACCTTCGGTGGAGCCCAGATGAGGCCACGAAGCGTTGTACTGGGTGGGGGAGACGCGTGTGAACTGCGCCACGCGGACCTTCCGTCGGGTTCCCTATGGGGCCACGAAGCGATGTACCAGGTGAGGGAGACGCATGCGGACTGCGCCACGGGGACTTCCGGTGGAACCCTGATGGGGCCACGAAAACGCATGCGGACTGCGCCATTGGGACCTTCGGTGGAGCCCCTATGGGGCCACGAAGCGCCGTACTGGGTGGGGGAGACGCATGCGGACTGCGCCACGGGGACCTTCGGCGGAACCCCTATGGGCCCACGAAGCGCCGTACTGGGTGGGGGAGACGCATGCGGACTGCGCCACGGGGACTTTCGGTGGAGCTCCCTATGGGGCAGCGAAACGTGTGGTGATGTTGATGATGTTGATGTTGATGATGATGATGATGAGGACGACGATGATGACGATGATGATGATGATGGTGATGATAATGATGATGATGATAATGATGATGAGAGGAAGGGAGGAGGGAGGTGGACGAGGATGAGGAGGAAACGCGGGGACCGCCTCTTCAAAACGAGGACCCAACAACGCAGGCTGGTTGGGAAGAAGTGGGGAGGAGGAGCAGGAGATGCGCGTGAAGGGGGATGCGGATAATGAGGAAAGCGAAAGAGAAAGGTGGAATAGGTGCAGGGGGCGCACGAGGGGGCGGCTGGGGAGGTGGAGCCTGGGCCATGTACAGATCCTCGTCACCTCCATCACCCCCTTTCCGACCTGGTGAGCGTATAATATATGACCCGGCGGGCTCACATTCTGTTTCGTTTTCTCTGTCGCCCTGGTTCTTCCTTGCTACGCCCACCAGGTGTAAGCTGCTGGCCACTGCGCCCGAGTCAGTTTTTTGCCTCGTTTGTTTTTATTGGGCGCAGCAACCGTACTGCCTATGCCCGATCAACGTGCACAGCTGGAGGCTGCCCGACTGAGCGACGGGTGCCTGCCCCGCAGGCTCCAAGAGCTCTGGGAGAGGCCGGACGAGTTCTTCCTGCCCGGCGACTTCCCTCACTACGTCGAGGCCTCCGAGCGGGTTGCCTCCCTCCCTTCCCCTGCCGTGCCTCCCCTCCCCCTCCGCAGCCTCGGGTCTCGGCGGGCCCTGGAAACGGCAGGGCCGTTCGCTCGTACCGATTTCGAGAAGCTGCCATTGCATATGCGTAAGCAATCCCATGGACCAATAGCAAAAACGTTCACCGAAACGACTCAATCGGCCAACCATGTGTACATTTGTCGCAGTTACGTACGCTTTGTTTGGTCGGAGCCTTGCACCTGATGGTCTACCACAAGGCAGGTCTTTGGACGGGCGTCCACGTCAACATGAGCTACACATTTGCTGTCTGTTCGTTCGTAGAGTTTTGGCGCGACGTCTCTCATTGGAACAGATTCAGACACAAAAGGTTCAGCCGGCCAGCGGAAACGGCGAATCGGCTAGAGTAGCCTTGAGGTTGCATGCGCAGGAGGCGAGTACCCACTTGAGGATTGAGTTGAAATGAGTTGTCCAACTAAGAATACAGCACCAACCTGTCCCGAACGTATGCCGAAGGCAGCCACGACAGACCAACGACGGCCAAACATGGCCGCACGACGGCCCAGCAGGTCCTACGACCGTCTGAGGGGGCTCGAAGAGGGGCCCTCACCCAGAGGCCCCCGAGATCCCAAAGCCATTCAGATTTCAAAGGTATGTGCACGATTTTGGCGCACTTGCCCTCCGCCTTCAGAGCTTCCTAGGCGTCCAGAGGGCCCCTCCCTCTCCTCCTCATCCTCCTCCCCGGCAGGGGAACGGATCCCGATACCGCCAAGCCTTGGACCTCTCCCGTAGTGCGTTCTGACCAGGATTTCCGAGGCGATTCCAGGCGTGGCGACGAGGGACCAGCAGCGGTACCAGTACTTCTTCCACCTTCGATCTTTCTCCCTCCCCCTCTCCCCTCAACCCTCTCCTCCCCCTCCTCCCCATCCCATACAGACCCCGACATCATGTTGTTTTTCAGAACGCGGACCCCCAGAGGTCTGGACCCCTGCGGTCCCGGGGCCTGGTGAGGGCCCCCGGAGGACGAGGATCATCCACAGTTTGCCGTCGTGTTTTGTTCACGGCGCGGGGAGGTCTGGGCTCCCCTCTCTCTCTTCCACTTTCTCCCCCCCCCTCCGCCCCCCACTCCTTGCGGAAGACGGTCGTCATCGAGAGTTGGGCTCTTGCGGATTTGGATCTCCCCATTCGGCCGCGTGAGAGCGCGTGGGCATCTAGGCCCATTCTGCAGCTGGCACGTTCGGCGCTTCATCGGAGGAGCACATGGGTCACCCTCAGCCAGGGACGCGCAGAGGATCGCGCTTCGCGCATCGCGGCCTCGATCTGAGAGCTGCCCTTCTCCAAGCGGGCCCCGCGAGGGCGCGAATGCAGCCGCGCGCCGCGCCTCGCGCGGGGCGCGATTCGCGCAGTTTGGGTGACCCACCCGCGCGCAGCCCCCGTGGAGTGCCGTTGGCTGGGCCCCCGGGCCGCGATCCTGCGGACGCGCTCGTGTTCTCCGCGTGCCCCGCGCCGAACGCACCCATGCGACCGCGTATCCACGCGGTCCAGGGGGGGGGAGGAGGAGGAGGAGGAGGAGGAGGAGGAGAGGAGGAGGAGGAGGAGGAGGAGGAGGGACTGCGGAGGAGGAGGAGGAGGAGGAGGAGGAGGAGGGCAGAGGAGGAGGAGGAGGAGGAGGAGGAGGAGGAGGAGGAGGAGGAGTCTAGACCGCGCGGGGTTGGGTATGGATATGACCGTCGCTCATAACTCCGCCCCCTCCCCCCACGCGCGCAGCCCCCGCCGAGAGCCCATGCTCTGAAAGATCCTGCCCCCCTCCCAGACATTCGTCGACGTGATAAGTTCAGTCCGCGGCCCCGGAGCTCCCGACTCGCTTCCCTTGGGCCGGACTGTTGTCGTGGGTTAGTCTTTGATGGCCCTGGGCCCGATGACGGGCCCTAGGGGTCGAAATCTACGTAGAACGTTGCAGGTCGTCGGAGATCTGGGAAGGTTTGGGGCCCCCTGTCTCTTCCGTCCTCTGCTGTCTGAATGATTTTGTCTCCCCCTCTCCCACGGAAGACGACGACGTCGACGATGACGATGACGATGACGATGACGATGACGATGACGATGACCATGACAATGACGATGACGATGACGATGAGGATGATGATCATGATGATCGTGGTGATGATGATGATGATGATAATGATGATGATGATGATGATGATGACGACGTTGGTGAAGAGGATGAGGATGATGAGGATGAGGACGATGATGATGCTGATGATGGTGACGATGACGATGTTGTTGCTGATGATGATGAGTATGAGGATCAGGATGAGGATGACGATGATGATGATGGTCATGATGAGGATAAGGATGAGGATGAGGACGAGGATGACGATGACGATGACGATGATGATGCTGATGATAACGATGGTGATCATGGGGAGGAGGAGGAGGATGATGATGATGATGATGATGATGATGAGGATGATGACGGCGACGACGATGATGATGACGGCGACGATGATGATGTGATGATGACGATTCCGATGACGATGACGATGACGATGTCGATGACGTTGATAATGATGATTTTTGATGATTATGATGATGACGATGATGATGATGATGACGATGATGACGATGACGATGACGATGTCGATGACGATGGTGATGACGATGGTGATGATGACGACGATGATGATGATGATGATGGTGATGATGACGATGATGATCATGGTGATGATGATGATGGTGATGATCATGATGATGATGAGTATGATTATGATGTTGATGATGATGATGATGATGATGATGATGATGATGATGATGATGATGATGATGATGATGATGATGATGATGATGCTGCGATCAGCCTCCGCTGAGCCGAGGTGCTGGGCACCGCCGGGGAAGCGGCCGCGCTCCCCGACGGGCACCGCACCTACCCGGACGGCTCGCGGAGCGGCAGCGGCCGGCTGCCGCCGCCGTTTCAGGACCGGGCGCTTCGACGGCGGCGACGACGAGACCCACCCAGACACTTCGCGGCGGGGCAAAAATCGCGATGGAAGGTTGTTGGGTTAAGTCGGGCCTGTCCCCCTACGGGGGGATTCTCGACGAAATGCAAAATGCCCCAAAGATGGCCCAAAAACAATCCAAAAATAGTCTGGGGACCATTTGTTTGAGCATTTTTTGCCATTTTGGGTTTTTTTGGGTGGTATTTTTTTTTCGTCGAAAATCCCCCTGTAGGGGGACAGGCCCGACATAATTGTTGGGCCGTTTTCGACCTCCGGGGCCCTCGCCGGGCCCCGGGAGCGTCAAGAAGCGACTCGGGATGATACACGGGCCCTCGGGAAAGGCGGGATGCCAGCTCCAGGACTGGGCGCCGATGGCGGCGACGACTACTCCACACTTCATACTCGGGGGCATGATCATTACCAGGAAACTACGCTCGTTACCGCCACCGCGTTCTTCGGGGCATGTTCGTGAGCGTGAGACGTTCAGCAGAATATGTGCACAATGTTTCGGGCGCAGCTCTGCGCAATTGAAGGCATTATCAGTAAGGGCTTCGCCCTCTGCCGCCGGCCCCCTCTTCCATCATAATGGAGTATGCAGGAGCTCTGTTAGGATGCTTGGGCGCCGTCGTGAAGAAATATCGAGACCTCATGGGGGGGCGATTGGTAATCTTGAAGACAGATTGAGATCCAGATGATATTTTTGAAGTTCGTGCTTTTGTCGATCTTCACATCATGCTGTGTATTGTAGGCCCTCTTGGAACGACTGGGGCTGCTCGAGGGTACGTTGGGCAAAATTGCGAGGCTTGAGCGGTTCTTGTTTTCCATTGGATACTCTACAAGGGGCTGTGGCCTCGGGGATGCGAACGTAGCGTAATTTACCAGGGATCGTGGCCTTGGGGGCCCGAGCACGGCGTAAGTCATTAGAGATCGCGGCATCGCCGCAAACATCGCATG